TAGAGTAAGGGTCGTGTATAAAAATACTGGATAATTTTTTTTTTTATTATTTAATTACCACACAAATAATGTGTATGTATGTGTCGCTGGGGGTTTTGTCACGGGCCTGTGTGGAGCGTTTTATCGTAGCACTAACGCCCGAATACTGAATTTTAAGTTGTACTTAAATATCGTGCTATCTCTGTCGTTATACAAAGAATTTGTAATGCTGTCACTACAGAACTATACTGAAGCGCGACTTAAATTGAGTAGCGTTTGAGTATTCGTGCGTTATGCCGGAATACTGAAACGTTACTCAATTTTAAGTTGTGCTTAAATATCGTGCCATTTCTGTCATTTTACAAAGAATTTGTGGAGACAAAACTATACTTAAGCGCGACTTAAAATTGAGTAGCATTTGAATATTCCGACTTTAGACTACGAGATTTAGCTTTAAATTACTTATCCCATCACTTAGAAATATATATGCAACTAATTAATTTGTTCATTTTAAGTAGAACGTAACAATTATCATTTATTAAAATGAACTTCTCAGATGCTGTCTGTTCCAAAGTGTCCAAGATGTCGTGAAGTTATTCTTACTCTCGCTCTATGTCGGAATATTAATTCGAATTTTTCCAGAAAGAGGGTAACGAGTAACGAATGATCACTAACACATTACATTAATTGATCTCCAAACACATCAACTGGCTGAACGGTACTGAAGCTCGCCGCCAGTCAGCTGGGGTTGTTGCAGCCTGCATCAACTACAGGACATTTGACGCGAAGTATTCAACTTGTATCCAGACTCAAGGAGGCCATACACGCTAGGTTATGCATGATGGTTATAACTGTGCATGCATAACCGAGCACCGATACACCGATAACTGTACTGTTGAATCACACACACGCTAGGGCTTGCCTGTCGGTTATGCATGCACGGCTAAAACGATCATGCAAAACCTAGCGTGTATGGCCTCCTTCACAGGAAACACTTCACACAGTGTCGTATGATTCAAATGTAATTTGTATTTACATTAACCTTACTTCAGCCCAAAATATAAGAATACCTAATAGTGAAATATTTTGCTAGAACCGGGCGAAAGTGAAGTAGAACGAATTATTATATCTTTAAAAAATATTCCTGTGACAGGGTGGGATAATATCAGCTCTAATATACTAAAAACCTTTAGGTACATACTAATACCGCCACTAACTCATATTTTTAACATTTGCATGTCTAGTGGTACATTTAGGAAATGTACCACTAGAACCACTAGTGGTACATTTCCTAAATGTACCACTAGAAAAGCAAATGTTGCCTAGCCTAGTATAATGCCTAGTGGCATTTAGGAAATGGAACGGATAGGGATTACTACTGTAAGGGATAGGGATTACTACTGTAATCCCTATCCATAAATCTGGTCCAAAGGACTTGGTAAATAACTATTGGCCTATTTCTATATTACCATCAATCTCTAATGTTCTTGAGAAAATTATAAATAATAGACTAGTCTCGTATCTTGAAAATAACTCCCTTATATCTAACAAGCAATTCGGCTTTAGAGCCAAATTGTCGACAGCTGATGCAGTACACACATTAACTGACTTTGTATCAAGAGAGCTTGGACAAAGTAAGCAAGTAATTGGAATTTTCCTTGATTTAGCAAAAGCTTTTGATACGGTATCAATCCCATTGCTACTAGACAAACTGGAGGGATTGGGAATAAGAGGGACACAGTTGGAACTTTTTAGAGACTACTTGCGGGATAGACAGCAATGTGTAAAAATAGGCAACGTCATTAGTTCCGAATTGCCTATACCGCTATATGGAATTCCACAAGGGAGCGTACTCGGAGGAACCCTATTTCTGGTATACATAAATGACCTATGTAACCTCAAACTACAGTGTGGCACTATTGTATCATATGCAGATGACACTGCTCTACTGTTTTCAGCAGGTTCTCTTACAGAAGTTCAAAGCTGTGCACAGCAAGGGCTTAATGTCGTAAATAATTGGCTTAAAATAAATAATGATAAGACAAAATTTATAAAATTTAATAAGCGTAAACCTCTAGCACGTAATGAATTCCACTTGTATGCGCATAAACCAGAATGCTCAATCGTGACTAACGCTTGTACCTGTCCGGAAACTGTAATAACAAATAACATTAGGTATTTAGGAGTTATTCTGGATGAAACCCTTTGAACTCATTACAGTGCTCGGAGGGAATGATCTCTCATTGCCGACCGTAGTGCGAGCTATGGTTGACAGTGAGAGTGCATGGGATGGAGTCGCTTCCTTCTGTGAACGTGTCTTGTTGGCAAAGGAGGCGGCTGAAAGGGAAAGAGAGGCGTCCAGCTCTCTCCCTTCCCGCCGTAGACGCGCCGGCCGTCAACGCCGCAAGGTAGTAGATGATCTGCGACCTCCATAGGAAAGACCTGCGGGCGACTGATTAGGGGAGTAAGTCGTCCGCTGTATGGGCGGGAGTAGGCGTTAGCGGTGTATTCACGCGCGCCACTCGAGGAAGGAAATCGCAGCTTTTGAGGGCTGCTACGTGGTGGGACCTGCCACGATTTTGTGGTAGGTCGAGGCCTGCCGGGTGCGGTGAATCCGCAAGGGCGTCCCGGGTCACGGGCACAGGCAGAGGATGAACACCGCGGTGGTTTTAGCCGGTAAGAGTCCGGCACACTCCCCCGTCGTCCCCACGGCGTAGGAAGTCCATAAGGATTTCCATCGCGTTAAAAAAAAAAACAAGATGAAACCCTTTCCTTTAAACAACATATCGCTGCTTTAACATCTAGAGTTCGGAAACTGATATTTGTTTTTAAGGAACTGTGGTTTATTGGTGATCACAAGTTAATTATTCAAATTTATAAAGCCCTGTGTCAATCGATTATCCAATACTGCATTACTTCTTGGGGCGGAAGTGGAAAAACATTGATACTTCCAATCGAACGAGCGCAAAGAGCCATCTTGAAAGTCGCCACGCACAGACCGTACCGCTACCCTACAGGCTTACTGTATGAGTCTAGTAAAGTGCTGACAGTGCGACAATTATTCATACTATTCACTGCACTAAAACAGCATGCTACACTTACATATGACTCTAACCTCACTAACACCAAGAGACGGAAAGATATTGTCTATACTGCTAGCTATGAATTAAAGTACGTATACGATGTAAATTACACCAGAGCAAAACAGCGCATTTCTCAGTATCTGCTATCATTAAGTTATGAAAGAAGCGAGGATTTGTTTATTGTCATTAAATAAATAATGTATAGGTATAAATAGATAATAATTATTTTAATAAATGCAAGTATAAAGTGTATAAAGTTAGTGTTTCCTAACTTATGTATACGTCAGGTTTTGTAATATTGGTGACTGTAAAAATAATATTGTTAAGGCTTAGTTATATTATCCTAATGTATAATGCACGTGACCACAAAGCCTGTGGTACAGATTTAATTCTATACAGGCATTGTATTGTAACCTACCTAGAATAGTTAATTAATAAGCTTAGATTAAGTATATGTGAACAAAATGGAAATAAATATATTTGTTTGTTGTTTTGTTTGTTTGTTTGTTTCATTAGGTAGTAACTTCCATGAGCACACATTTTGTATGTAAAGCAGTCTCAAGGAGGTCTATGTGTTAAGTACTGAAATATCTCTATAGTCGTATCTCTGCAAACAGTTTAATATTAAAGCTAAAAAAGTAAAAGTAACATAATATATAGAAATTTGCTGCCGCTGAGAGTTGTTCGCGGCGATAAAGTCGTTCCACTGCTTGTTTGTGTCAGGAGAGACAGCAGAAGGAGCAAAGGTGGGCGGCGGGACACCGCTAGAGGAAGCGAGCGGCGCGGCGGGCGCGGGCGCCGGCGCCGGCGCCGGCTCCGACTCGGACACATCCTTGCGCGAGCGCCGCGCACCCAGCGCCCCCAGCGCCGCTTTCAATTCGCGCTCCGCCACGCTGGCGCCCGTCGTACGCGTCACACTCTCTGCACACAACAACATCTCGTCAGCCAGTGGCGGTCAAGGGCGAGGAAGGCACTGGAGATATGGGGGACACTTTCATTAACTGTTTCACAAATGGGCATGAGCAATAAGTGATTTTTTTAAATTGGTTGAACACTTGGCCACGTACATACTGTACTTATATTATTATATACATTTTTATTATCATACCCCGACATCATCCCTATTCGCTATTAGCTATGGTACTGTTTCGTAACTGTTATGTTAAATAAATATTCTCGTTATTGCATTATTAATTTCTAGTTTCTAACTCAATAATAATTTACAAAATGAAATAAAATTATCTTCGTGTTTCTAAGGTTCAGAAATGTACGGTTTAAAAATTATACAAAGTCAGCCAATCAGTCAGTCAGTCAGTCAAGGTAGTGATTTTTCGAAATTTTCAAACATGTGGTAGAATTTTTAAACCATACATTTTCGCTGAACTTACATTGAGTTGCTTAGGTAGGTATTAATCCCAGCTATCACCCCTAACAATATGGTGCACCATTTACTGGACACTTGTATATCTATCTATCTCTATAATAACGGAGCTTATTTAGAGGGAGATTTCAGGGAGTTACTTAGAAATGTACGTACAGTACTCGTGGTATTTGGCATTTATTACTATCGCAAATAACTGCATCGGTGGTTTAAAAAAGAAAAGCTTAGGAAGTTAGGGTGAGTAATGTTATGTATGTAAAACTCAGAGAGACCTACTATGAGTAAGTAAAATACGATGATTGCTAGCAAATCATCGTGTTTACAGTTATTACTGTTATTAAGTTTAAACTTGTAACGAAACAAACGATCTGTTCAATTTTAATATAAATTTATAAAAAAGTCTTTAAAACTATTGAAACATGATCATCGATGGCACAACGTAGTAGATAAGTAATTAAAATTGTACAACCAAGAAGGTTAATTGTTAAATATGATTTAATTTCTGGTTCTCATAAACAAATAGTCCCACGAGGAGATACAACATTCACTACAACACTTTAAACATGTAAACATATATCATTGATTAGAAAGGTATTAAGGAAGGTACAAGCGAGAGCTATCAGTATGCAGCAGGACGTGCGCTGTAGCCGGAGTGGGCACGCATCATCGAGGAGCGCTGTGTCGACATAGTCGCAAACCTGCTGGTCCCAATTTTCGGTGAGCTCGTTGATGTTCTTGGAGCTGGAGACCAACTTATGTCGCATCAACTTCTTCACTCGGATGATTCGCTCGGGATTATCGTCGGAGACCTCGCTCGCGCGCATCCATGGTATAATACTGGAGGGCGGCTCCACCATCACCACCGTCGGCACGTAGCGCGTCACTTGCAGCAGTACCGGCGGCTTCTTCGTAGGGGGGTCGATGTGTAGACCTTCCTTCCGTTGGTCTTTCTTCAAGATGGATAGTCTGGATTTTTCGGCAAGTGATAGCTCCGTGTTGTTGACGTAGACGTTGGCAGCAGTGCTAATTGCGGTGGTGGTGATTACAGAAGTGGTGGTGATACGGATGGTGGTCGTAGTGGTGGTAGAGGGGGTGGTGGTGGAGGGCGGGGTCCGCTCTGTGGTGGCGGTGGCATGCGACGCGCGGTGGCTATGCTCGAGGAGGTTGTCTGCTTGCTCGTCGTCGTCGTCGTCGTAGCGCTTGCGTCCGGGCGGCAACATGCGCCGGTTGGTCCACAGCTTGTCCAGGTAGCTTGTAGGCGTCGGCCGATGAGCCCTCTCTGAGCACACACAACGAGCGTTTCGTTAGCTTTTCTGATCTTCAAGCTGAGTCACTTACAGTGGACGATCGCGTCAACATTAGCTACAAACACAATGTTGGTCACACTGTCTAAATGAAGTATTACTGAGATTCATCGTAGATGAAACTGTCTAAAATTCTAAAGTATTTAAATCAATGCAGCCATGTAATCACATGTGTTGAGCAATGTACTTTGTGACCACTTAGCACGGACACTTACGGTGTATTTGTAAAAAATGCTGTTAAAGAACTTAAATATAAAACAATCAAGTAGTTACCTATCGTCACTAGAGTGCGTGCGTCAAATTAAATTGATAATCAGAATTTCACCAACGTATTCATTTACTTCCACGACTAACGAGGGTAAACGTGTCTTACTAGACGTTGGAAAATACTCCCTTGCTCCAACTTGAACTCTATAATACGAATGATAAGTGGTGGCTGGACTTACCTGTTGTTCTTCGAAGAAGCGAGGGCAGTTTGCTTTTGATACTATTGACTCTCTTCATGTCATAGTAGTCGTCATAGTCGTCGTACGATTTAGGCCGCAACTTGTTGGCGGGCTGCCCTCTCGCCATGTCCTCGTCTTCATCCTCAACCAAGGTGCGGAAGCGGTCAGCGGGCCGCGCGTCGGGTGGCCGGGTGCGGCGTGGTGGCTCCTTGTCTACGTCGCCCTTCATGCGCCGGTCCACGTCCGCCTCGTCGTCGTACGCTAAGTCGAGGTCGCTACTCTTTCTCTTCATCTGCCTGTCCCTCGGTTTCCTCCGGCGCCTAGTGGTAGCTTCGTTTAAAAATTTAACATCATCGTCAAATTCTTTACTCTTATCATCTGGAAAGTCATCTTTATCTAAATGGAAATAGTCTTTTCTATCTATATCACTAACAACATCTTTCCTATCTCGACTATATTTTACTGGACGTCTGGATGGCGACTCTTCGTCTCTAGGGCCCTCGTGTTTGAGCCGACTCCGGTGCTTGGCGTAGCGGTGATTGGGCCTCAACTTAGGGAACTCCTCCTCGTCCCGCTCGAACTTGTGGATAACGTCTGCAGTCGCACTATCCATGGTTCTAATCAATCCTCTTTGTTTTCTCCCTGGTTTTCTCCACACTTCTGAATCATCGGAATCTTTCATGGGCTTCTCAGTTTTAACTGCAAATCAGATAATAAAAATGTAATTACTTATTTATATATGTTTACCTACATACATAAATTGGAACCAGTGATGAATAAACATTAAAAAATTAAAGGATTTGAATTGGTACAGTAATATTCTAGTTTGAAGCTTGGCGAAGGCACGTACTGCGTGGTTCCTCTTCGTATTTGTAGTCGGGCGAGGCGGGCGCGTCCGGGGATTGGCCGCGGTAGTCGTCCGACGCCGGCGCGCCACCTTCACGTGGCGCGTCGTAGTCCCCGGCGGCCACGCTGCCGTACGCCGGCATCTTCACGCCCGAGTAGTCGACATAGCGCGCGGCCGACGCAGCCGCTGCGCACGTCAGCGCCAACAGCAGCGCGCGCGCCATTGCACGCTCCCGTCGCCCGCCGCGCTTGTGTTAATCTCACTCTATATTGCTGACTTGCCACTGTGACTCTCTGTTGCACACACAAATTGCGGCATATTTTTGCAAATGTAACTATAAATTTGACATTGAAAGATTATCATGTGTTTCTATTTGTTGACAGTTCCGGTGAGTCATTATTTACCGGCCTGTATTCTTCTTTCGATTTAACAATAAATGTGACTTTAATTATACATGTTGTAATAAACAATACAGCATTCTGCGCCAACAGAAATAACAATATTTTGTATAAAAGATGGCAAGGTTGTTGTACAACACGGGCCAGACAGAATCAGCCGCGCACGTGTTTCAATAAGCTTCATTCACTTCACTGCTGTCAAAAGTTATTCAATCTGACTGATACTGTCGAAATTGTAAAAATGTTTTTTTATAATTAAATTTATTAAAAAAAAGCAATAATGTAATTCCATACACTCTCTCCAAATCGACGATGAAGTAACTGGTGATACCTACACATTTATTGACGCTATGAGTGGGACAAAAGATAATGTAAACATAGAAGAACAAAACTGTGATTGCTACGCGGATTCACACACGAGGAAGGCGTGCCCTCCGACGCGGAACGTGACGCACCCTCTGGTAGCTAGCCGTCCAGCCTATGGCGCCTGTAGACCCTAAAGCGCGGGCACCGCACCTGCTCACCTCGCCTGTTCTGTTGCAGCGGTACTATGAGTTCACCCAGGAGGAGATGAAAGCGCTGGAAGAATGCGACAGAGAGAGCTTCTACACGCGCTGCTTGCCGTTCAGCGCAGTTCTGGCTACTTTGACGTACTCTGCTATAAAGAATGGTAAGAGCTCTTCAGTACTTATGAGACTCGACTCGGAGTGTTCGGTAGGGACGCCACGAAAATTTTCATAGAAGTAAGAACTTGCTTTAATGGTATAAAACACTTTGATCGAAATAGATATTTTTTATGAATTTTGGTGGTTGTTCCTTCCAACGACTTCTTACTTCTATGAATGTTTTCAGATTTCCTGCGCCCCAACCAACACTTTGGCGTCGTACCTAAAATGGCGGCGGCAATGTTCTCGGGCTACGTGCTCGGGCGGCTCTCATACATAAGCCACTGCGACGAGAAGCTGCGGCAGCTGCCGCCGTCGAGCCACCTCGGCAACATCATGAGAAAGTACTACGCCGACAACATCGCCTACAACACTCCGAAGGAACCAAAAAAATGATTTGGTTCATTACAGGCTTAATATTGTGTCGGTCAGTTGTAGATAGTCTGTTGTGTCTATTACATTTTCAGTTTCAATAGGTAAAGTAAAGCGTCAGGGTACTGTCCACCAGAATGCACACGTTCGCATGATCTCAAAACAAAATAGAAAATGTGTAGGAGACAATTAAGGATAAAATAATGTAGAGCCAGCGCGCAACAATTGCGCGTGCGCGTACTTCCTAGCGTTTTTATATGCGTTGATTGCGCGTACGCACTAAGGCACCTGCGTACAGGGCGGTGCATATCACGAATACACGCATTCAGTGTGCCTGCATGTTTATTTGCCTTTTAATGCAAATAGATGTGTGCAATAAAAGCAGTAGCTCGTCGTAGGGCTCGTCGGCGCTGGGAGAATGGCACCTTTACTCAAACACACATATTTAGGTATAAGTTATAGGTGTATTCTCCAGTATTCCAGTTACTATGTTAAAACAAACTGACATTATTACAAAGCCAGTACGATTCGTCTGTATCGTATAGTATTGTACCTATGTATGTAGATAGTATTGGTGTTCGTAACAAAACTAGCAATAGAGACTACTATCAGGAGGTATCTATTTATTATAATTATTGAAAACGGCTAAGTACTGTAGAAAATGCATCGTGGCCAGCTGCTCATAGCTTGCGCTATGAATAATATAGGTGTAATATTTGGACAGTTGTAGAAACCCTGCTTTGTATTAATATCTACATTAAACGTTTTACACAATGTCATTGTTTGATTCCAAAGCTTGGTCCGCTTAGTTGCTGTTTGTCTCCATTTAGGTATCTACATGTTAGCACGAGTAAATATGTAGGTACGAGGTAAGTCGTATGTAGATATTCCTCGAGATTGAGTATGTTAGAAGCTGAATTTGATGATTTAAATCAAACTCAAATTCTTTATGACATTCAGTGTACTTACGTAAGTATTAATAAATATATAAGTTTCAACATGATACCCGGGTAGGGCACGGAAACACATGACAAAATAAGCATCCAGTCAGTTGGTATAACAAGCTGTAATTATTATAATAATACTGAGTAATAATTACGATACCTAATTATTATTTTAATGAATTTCAATAATGTTATGCTTTTAAAATGACTATCATGAGACATTTAATTAAGTAAAAGTTACGGGTTACGCACGTACATGTACGTGTAGCCTGCGCCTGCGCGATACCGCCGCGGTCGCGCTCGCTGCTCATGACGAAGAGTCCTTCTGTGACTCGAAACTACGAGTAGTACCTCGAGCTTTCCTCAACATATTTACGAGACTAACCCTAACCCGTTATTTTTAGGTAAATGTTATTTAATTATTTCTGTTCATTTTTGTATTTGTTATATTAAATATTGTATTTTACCATCTCGAAGTACTACTGGGTTTTTATAAATTCTCAGTAGTAGCACGGAGTCTGGAATTGTGCCCGGTATATGGCAATAGGCTCACCCCCTATTACATGGGACTCATAACATAAATAGTGAAAAGTGGGTGTTACATTGTACAGTGGCATAATGTACACCTCTGCCTACCCCTTCGGGGATAAAAGGCGTGATGTTATGTTATATTTTACCATCTTATACAGGTAATTCTGTTGTTTATATTACATCACCTAAATTGTTTTTTACTTTAGGTGTAAGCACCACCCCGTTCCTACTCCTGCACCTCGAGCCGGAGGGGCCGGCAACCCGTTATTCTTCCGTGGCTCCGTATCAGCATCAACCCTATTGGGCCCCATCTGTGGTGGTCATGGTCTGATGGCTCCTACGCGCCGTACGCTCGGGTCTGGTTCTGATTGCAGGCCCGTGCTTACGGTGGCTGGAGATCGTCTTGTAATCCTCGACGCCCGGAATGTCTCTCGCGACGGCTGGAGCTTAAGGAGGTTGGAGGCGCGCGTGAAACGCGACGCGCTGCACGCTCGGGTCTGGTTCTGATCGGGCGGCGAGCTACCTATACTCGTCGTCCGCAGGCTCGTGCTTACGGTGGCCGGAGATCGTCCCGCGATCCCCGACGCCCGAAGCGTCATCCGCGACGCGATGGGTTGTGAGGAGGCAATGTTTCGCTGCCTTACACGCCCCGCTTCCTCTTTAGCTAGCATGGCTGCTTCGCAAAAGGAGGAAACGGCATCGCAGTTCTCCTCACTCCGCATCATAACTCGGACTAAGGCCGGACGCGAGAGGTCGCCGTCGCCAATCACATCCCTGAGGGCACAGCGTTGCTCAACCAACGCAGGGCATTCCCCTACCGTGTGTTCCACCGTGTCCTCGGGGCAGCCCTCGCAGTGATGACACCTGGGCGTTTCCTCCCGCCCTATCAGACACAGGTACCTTCCAAAGCTCCCATGTCCGGTGAGAACCTGCGTCAGGCGGTAGGTGAGGACACCGTAGCGTCTCTCAAGCCACATCTCAAAGAGAGGACTTTTTTTTTTTTTTTAAGGCGGGAAATTCATCGAATGACTGCTCCCGCCTGGGTGAGGCGGAAGGGAGTGTCAGACTCTTACTGACTAAAAACCACCCCGTTCCTTCTCCTGCACGTCGAGCCGGAGCCCCGGTTACCCGTTAGGTTCTCCGCGACTCCAAATCGGCATCGGCCCTATTGGGCCCCATCTGTGGTGGTCTGATGGCTCTTTGAGGCGCGCGCGGAACGCGACGCGCCGTACGCTCGGGTCTGTTTCGGTCGGACGGGGAGCCACCCATGCTCGCCGTCCGCAGGCCCGCGCTTACGGTGGCCGGAGATCGTCCCGCGATCCCCGACGCCCGGTGTGTCCTTCGCGATGGCTGGGTTGCGAGGAGGCAGCGCTTCGCTGCCTCACGCGTCCCGCCTCCTCCTTAGCCAACATGACTGCTTCGCAAAAGGAGGAGACGGCATCCCAGTCCCCCTCGCTCCGCATCATGGCCTGCACTAGGCCCGGACGCGAGAGGTCTCCATCGCCGATCACTTCCCTGAGGGCACGGCGGTGCTCAGCCCACGCAGGGCATTCCGCAACAGAAAGAGAGGACTTACCACTGCAATATCCGAGGAATTACAAGAGCAACGCACTTGTATTATTGCTCTGATATTTTGGGTGTCCATCGGCGGCGCCGATTGCTTACCATCACGTAATCCATCAACTGTTTTACCAGCTTTTCCCCACAAAAAAATATATTTTCGCGAAAAGATTCAGTGACGGAGCACTTGAGAAGTCTCTGTCATTTCGTTCCAAGACCCGCAGCGACATTGCACGAGTTATGTAGTCTTCTACACATTACTACTCTGTATAACTCATAGTACTCTGAGTGCCAAGCCAAAATAACTATCGCATCCGTAACGTAAAATGTATCGAGAAGTCGAAACGCTATGTGACGAAAACGGTAATATTTTTTAATCTTTATCTACGTTTAAACTGTCAAACACCAAGCGGTCACCGGTGACCGCAACCTATTGTTCTTTAATTGTGTCTATAAATACGGTACTCGACGAGTTAATGCTATGACAGAAAAGAAGTTCTAGAAGCGCGTTTAGAAGAACATAAAGTGACATTATAGTATTATTACAACCAAAAAATGTAGTGGCTTTTTTTGTTTCTTGAATGGCAACCGAGTCTTCAATACAGTGTTGTCAACTATAGATACTGCCAGTGTCAAGTGATGACGGCAGACTAAAGAACCGTCGAACCTGAGCTACCTAGAATTTAGTAGCTGAAAGGGACCAAAACATACATCTGTTCGAATTGAATAGGCTCCGAAACCACGGAACCGATCATAGCCTCATAGACTATATTTAAGAAGATAGAAAAAAGGAACCGTATGAAAACTTCGATAATGTAACCCGATGTCTGAAAAATGTACCAAAACCCTCTTTATAATGCTTAAGCCTTTGACTGCCAATAGAAAACTGTTTTCAAGCCTAATAATAGTATTTAGCTGCATCATAAACAGGGATTTTAAAGAAAAAATATAAATTCAATTACCTGAATACATTTTATTCTTGGACTAACTTTTGCACTCGGTTTCGATCGCGCTCTTTTAAAGTACTGAGAGCATGTTTACAAAACATAAAAAAGAATTGGTGCCTGATGTTCTGTTGGTCACAAATAAGATACTATTTTAATTTTAGGTTTTTTAAAAATTACGTAATGCTCCATACTAAATTTCACCCCCTGTTTTAGGAAACTGGTTAGAAAGAAACAAAATGTAGCCTATGCATGCCACTTTTCATTCTTTCAACAACATATTATTTCCATTCAATAAAAAATCATGTCAATTTCTAACAAAACAGACACAAAAATGTATAATAAGTGTACATACATTACTTTGTTATCTGATATATTTTTGATAAGTGAGTAACGCCGCCGGTATGGAGCAGAAGTGTGGTGGTGCTGTTCTTCAAGAAGGGAGATAACACTCTACTGAAAAATTACAGACCCGTCTTACATCTGAGCCATGCCTACAAGCTGTTCGAGGATCATCACGAATCGTCTCACACGTAGGTTCGATGACTTCCGAACAAGCCGGATTCCGGAAAGGTATCATAGACCACATCCATACACTGCGGCAAGTTATACAGAAGACCAACGAGTATAACTTGCCACTACGCTTAGAGTTTGTGGGCTATGAAAGAGAGCTTTTAAGTGTGGGAGAGCCATGCTTCGGCATGAATTAGTCGGCTCGACCAGAATGATATCACAGCCTCACAAAAGACAGACGTGAAATAACGCTTTCGTTGTGTTTTGTCGCGTGAGTGAGGTTACCGGAGGTCCAATTACCCCGGAAAAGGGCCTTTCCCAGACCCTGAATCCCCAACAATCCTCAAATTCCTAATCCCAAAAGGCTTAGTAACGCACTTGTAATGCCTCTGGTGTTCCAGGTGTCCATGGGCGACGCCGATTGCTTACAATCAGGAGATCCGTCTGCTCGTTTACAGCTCGGCATATCGAGCACAGACTTGGGCAGTGTTAAGATCTCTCCAGTGTTGCCATATTGACTATCAGTACATCGAGGTTTTGACGTGCATAAACGCCAATATGTTGGTCCAAGTACAGGACCGGCACACGAGGGATATCCCTTAGCAGCGAGGTGTAAGGCAAGGAGACGTCTTATCTCCAAATCTGTTTACCACTGCATTGGAAGACGCCTTCAAGCTTTTAGAATGGATAGGATCTGGCATCAACATCAACGGCGAGTTCATCACTTACCTCCAGTTTGCCGACGACATTGTGGTCACGGCAGAATCGCTAGAAGATCTGAGCTTTATGCTCGATCTTGTAGTTTTACAGGTAGGTCAAACAGGTAGGGCACTGAATGTACATACATGGACAAGACGAAAGTCATGTCGAACGCCCATGTTACGCCCTACCCGATATCAGTTGGGAGCTCTACCTGTATATTCCTGGGACAAGTGATCCAGCTAGGTAGGTCCAATTTCAAGACGGAGGTCAATCTTCAAATCCAACTTAGATGGGCAGCGTTCGGGAAACTACGCAACATCTTTTCTCTCGTCCAACATACCTCACTGCCTCAAGACGACAATCTATAATCAATGTGTGTTATCAGCGATGATCTATGGAACTGAAATATAGTCTCTCACTATGGGCCTTATAAAGAAGCTCAAGGTCGTTCAGCACGCTATGGAAAGGGCTATGCTTGCAGTTACTTTGCGAGATCAGATAAAATCATCCAATGACTTCTCCCGCCTGGGTGAGGCGGGAGGGAGTGTCAGACTCTTACTGACTAAAACCACCCCATTCCTACTCCTTAACTTTGAGTTGGAGCCCCATTAACCCGCCAGGTTCTCCACAGCTCCGTATCAGCATCAGCCCTATTGGGCCCCATCCGTGGTGGCCTGATGGCTCAAAATTTAAGTATTTACAACTAAAATTAACATAACAAATATACAAAAATAGCATAAGAAAAAAAAATTAACGAATCAAAAAAATTATCCTCATCATTGTCATGAGGTAAGGTGCCCAAAAGGCTGACAGCATTGCCACGTTGGATAGCAATGCTTAACTGAGGAACAAGGCCAGCCATTCGATCACCTGAAGTGTCAACCATCTTCTTTTTGCAATATCTTTGTAAAGAAGATGTGCACTTTCACTTTCATCTTTGTAAAGTTCGGAAGCATAATTCCTATTATATATAATAAATAAATAAATCCAGATATGTTATCTGAATGACTAATTAACTACCTAATCAAGTTATTATCTAAATTTTTCTGTATCATTATTTCATATTAGCAAATGTTCTATCAATATGTTACTATGTTTCTGTATTTAAAGAATAATTTTATTGTATAAAAAAGGTTCAAGAAAAACATAAAATATAGTTAAATGTTTAATTTGTCTCATATTGTATACCACGTGTAGAAACTTAGTAGGTAAACTTATAAAGGAGCACCATATCAGCACTTTCCTGACACTATCAGCATTGTCTTTTGTTATTTCGTCAGTTCCAGTTTAGCCTTCTTTACCGGTCTATTCATCCTCTAATGGAGGAGAGGTGGTTTGTAGTATTGTAAAGCTGGAATACATAAACTCCTGGAATCCTGGAATACAAATTACAATGCATATTAAGTCAAACACAAACAACTATTCAATCAAAACAATAATTACCCGACTTTAAGTATTGAAATTTTTACTTACGATACTTACCATTCCCTCCACCCTTATTTTGCATTGGAATTGAGTTCTATTATAACTATTCAAATATAAATTTATTAGAAATAATAAGTCTAGACAAACAAAATATCTTTACATTTGAATTTGATTGACCTTTGTCAAAGTCAATCAAACAAAACGTTCGGAAATCACAAAATATTTTATGAGTTCTCAAAACTATTTATATCCATTTTTGTTATAATACGATATATTCGACGACTTTTAATTGCTTCTAGAACGTTTTTGCTTAATAGTTATTATCAAAATATCGTAGCACTAGACATAGGCTGAAAATATTTAAAATTTGATTTTGTTTTTAGACGAAATATTTATTTTCAAATTCTTTCAATTCGTTCATTTGGGCGCTTCTGAGAACTCTTGGAACTTACATTTTTATGACGTCACTAACTGTTTTCAGCTCTCGTTATACGATACGATAGGCTTCGTGTTCGTGCTGCGACATTCGGCATTCCGTTTTCGTCACATGACGTTACGAATGAGATAGTTATTCGTGCTTGGCACTCTGTAGTAAGTACTATACCATGATTAGAAATATTTTTAAATGAAATATCTTTTATTCTTTGGTCATTGGTACTATACTCTGACTTTTTCATTATGGTGACTATAATGAAAAAAAAAACAAACTTATTTATTTATTTAATACACTAACTACTACCATTACAGATACATTCCAATACGATAGTGTAGCCATCAGTCTTACCACATCTTTTAGTAATTACTTATTACCTAATTATAATTAAATTAACTGTTTAACTGTTTAAAACTACTGAATAACATACTCACAATGAATCATAAACGATATTTTACTTAACACCTACTCAGTATCTACTTGCTAACATAAACTATTATTAAAGTACAAAACAAAGAAATAACTTTGAGACTTTTTTGAGAGAGTAAACAGTAATAATAAGGCCCGGCAACACAGTTCTCGGACGCATCTTTTTGTGAGTCTCGTCCATGGTTCGATGCTGAGGCGCAAAAGCTCGCGGAATACTTGTCATGGATGCCAAGCGTCTTGAGACTGGCGACGTTGTACAAAGGAAGAGAGCCTAACTGGACTGCCAACGTGCAAAAAAGCATTACGAATAGCTAGATATAACCACATTTGCCGAATAGGAAACTAACTCGCTTTGTACCCAGCAGATAGTAAATCGTTCTGGTCCCTGGCCAAGGCGGTTGAATGAAATTTCTGTCGCCCCTCACTTCCCCCGCTCCTGAGGTCTGACGGGACATTAGCTCACACTGTGGTAGTCCTCACACTGTTTGCCTATCTATTTCAGACTCCGGTCTGCATGACTTGGTACTGGTACGGTGGCGCCTCGCCTCCTTCTCTTAAAAGCGCATGCAAGACGAGTATGTCGAAAATTCTCATCCGACAGAAGGAGGTAGATCTCGACGTAAAGAAAGTCGGGGCCTCGATGGAATCCCAGCCATGATTTTAAAAACCAGTGCCGGTTGCATGGAAGCTTGCCAACGTGCAGCCTGTGTCAAAAAAAATGGACCCGTACGTGCCTAACAATTACCGACCTATCTGGCATACCTTCGCGCGTATGCCATTCACATTTAGAACGAGGCCATCTAGACGGCACGGCCATAGGCATTCGCAGTCTCGCTCGATATTTCGAAGTTTATTGCACATAAACGACCTGCTTAAGCCCAGTATCTTTTTGTCAAAAGGTATGTCTAATGCGCGAAATAGCGAAGCGCAGATCTAGTATCTAAGAGAGGCCATGGTTGAACGCTTGAACTCGTCCTTGAAGACGGTTTCCGACTGGAGAGACGCCAACTTAGTCAAGTTCAACGCTAGTAAAACCCAAGCGTGTCTGTTCTCCGCACAAACGGATTCAATTTCCGCTGACTCCTACTTTCCGGAATGTATCCGTTCTGGTAACTAATCTTGAGCTTTTTGGCCTAAGTCTGACGCCCACACTGAACTTTAGCTCCTATAGAGTCTAAAGCGCAACTGGCTGGTAGGAAGTTAGGTATCCTATGGAGGGTGAGACGGTACTTCAAGCCGAAACAATTGCTCAGCCTGTACCAAGCACAGTTTCGGTCCTTTATGGGGTACCTACTGTTCTCATCTTTGGGACGACTCAGCTAACCGAATACCAGTTGGACGCACTAGAACATACCGAGAGGCGTGCCAAGAGGCTCATCAACGGTAATGCTGTGGAGGCCCGGCTTCAAAACCTTCAACACATGCTTATTAACGTTGTAAGCATTTCGGTTTTTTACCGGAGACATTTCGGTGAGTGTGCGGGGGAATTGCACAACTTTTCCCCCCCTAGTTCTTTCCATTTTTGTAACCATGTTACACAGGACAATCGGCGAAGCTTCTCCGATTCATGTTAAGTGAGCCACCCACCACGAAGACTTTGCTTCAAGCTATCTTGTGCGTACTGCTAAGGAGGGGAATTCTTTGCCAGAGTCTGTTTCCTGAAGGGCGTCTTCAATGCCCGAGTAAATTGGTTGCTTATGAGCAGACGTGGTCCATCGTAAGCCGCATCATCACTGACCACCAAGCGACATTGTGGCCAAACGTCGGCGGCTCAAATAATTATTAAAAAAAATTTGCTAATTATCACATGAATGTCTTGTTGACAGTGACATTTGAAATAAATCATTGTCAAATTGCAGAGTAATATACCTACGTCCATGAATATACCTACCTCCTAATCTTAAAAGTCGTATCGTTCATCGTTCAGTCAGTCAGTCAGTTGTCAGTACCTATTGTCACACACTACGATACGGCTGAAATGAACTAGTTCACTGAGTGCAAGTGCTGATTTTAAAAGTTATTGTTTTGTGGCCTGATGTCATTAATCTGCTGAGAGTATGAACGACCCCAACTCATATGGATATCAGGAAAACGCGACGGACCTGTCGGTTGCCGAGCAGCAGCGTCCAGAGGTGCTCCCGGTAAGGTTATTAGCTTGTGGATGATATTGCCGGTCCGTGCTGTGCGTAACCATGGACTTGTTGGTTCAGTCGGAGTACAAGTTCACTCCAGATGAGCTGCGCGTGCTGGGCGAATGCAACAAAGAGAGCTTCTTCCAACGATCCCTGCCTCTCGGCACCACGTTTGGCCTCGGAGCCTATGTTGCTGTACAAAAAGGTTAGTAGCTGCTTACTTTTAGCTATAATACAGTGTTTATATTTAGTTCTAACATTAAAATGTAATAGGATAAGGACCTCCGAATATAGATAACTATTATTTTATTTTTCTTTATTCGGGAAATAAGTCTTACAAATACCACTCCTACTTATGCACTCAAATACAATACCATACAGCAATACAAACATATTCTGAACTTTCTTCTTATAACACATCTAATAATGCGGATGTAATATCAATACAGATTATCTTCACAATTTTTAATCAAAAAATTCGACTGTTTAGACAATGATAACTTAATAACCAATATAGACAATATCTTAGCTGGGCTATTGTGTCGAAAATTATCGACTAATCTCAGTTTTGCCTGCGCTTTCCAAAATTCTGGAAAAAATAATGAATAAAAGCCTAATCTCATATTTGGAAAAGCGTAAAATTTTATCAAGTAACCAGTATGGCTTTAGGGCGGGAAGGTCGACGGCTCATGCAGTTTCTGAATTGGCATATTTTGTGGGTACTCACATCGATAGATAAATGTGTAGGTGTTTTTCTAGACCTAGCAAAGGCATTCAACACAGTATCTATTCCTATATTGCTTAACAAAATGGAGAAAATTGGTGTTAGAGGGGTAACCTTACATCTATTTAAGGATTACCTGAGTAATCGCACCCAAAGGGTAAAAATAAACCAGTTTTGCAGTAAAGACACACCTATAACAATTGGCGTGCCCCAAGGAAGTGTGCTCGGACCGACCTTATTCCTTATATATATAAATAACCTTTGTAATATACAACTAAAAAATTGTAAAATATTTGCTTTTGCTGATGACACAGCTCTAATTTTCTACGGTAATAGTTGGGAAGACGTTCAGAACCATGTAGAAGTAGGGCTACAGACTGTATTCGCTTATCTTAATCAAAATCGCCTTTCCCTGAACGTGGCTAAAACAAAATTTATGATTTTTTCCAATTCCAAAAGAGTGTTAAATTCTGTTAAAAACTTTACAATACAATTACATTCCTGTGACATGTATGATAAAAAATGTAAATGTACAAATTTAGAGCCTACTGAAACCATAAAATATAATAATATGTGTCTAATGTTTTTGTTGCAATAAACACTTTTTATTTTATTTATTTTTTTTAAATAAATTATTTCAATACAGTTTGATACATATAGAGCTGGAGTTCTATAAAACAATGGATTACAAAAAGCACTATTTTTAGAGGTTTTTAATCGGTTATACATTAAAAAATAGGTGAAAGAAAAAGTAAATAGGTACATGAACTTACCTACAAAGTGACTTGGATGAGTATGTCTCTGCTTTATTTTAGATTTATATATAGAAACTGGTATTAAATATGTCTAGTTCATTCAATTATTCTTTCCATATATTTATTTTAAATTCTCTATAAAATACATTTTTAAATACTATTTACAAAAACATAAAAATAATATTTAAAAATATAAAAAATAGGAGCCGACCAGTAGCGGGAGCATGGTCCAAGCTACCGGTGGTTAGGGCTCCAGAGACAGAAACCTCCTCACGATACGTGCCGTTTCAAGGAGCACTGCCTTCTGTATCAGGCCCTTGACCCAACTACCTAACGCTAGCCTCCTAAGGTGGTTGTCGAGGCTATTAGGGATTAACCCATTGGCCGATACGACTATCGGCACAATGATAGCCGAATCTACATTCCACATGTCGACAACCTCGTGAGCCAAATCAAGATATTTGATTTGTTTATCTTTTTCAGCTTTCACGAGGTTCTCATCATGAGGAATAGTGATATCGATTATCATCGTGCGGCGCAGTTGTCGGTCTATCACCACTATATCAGGTTTGTTGGCTATAATAGTCCTGTCAGTGATGATAGACCGGTCCAGTACAACGTGATATGGTCATTTTCCAGAACTGGGTCGGGCACATACTTGTAGTACGGTACCTCAGACTCAACAAGTCGATAGTGCAAAGCAAGTTGCTGATGGATAATCTTGGCTACTTGATTATGCCTATGCAAATATTCACTGTTAGCCAAACGACCACAACCAGAAATAATATGTCTAATGGATTCACCAGGACTATGACATGCCCGACATATGTCAACCGTCCCATCCTTAATTATATATTTCCGGTAGTTATTCGTAAGGATAACTTCGTCCATAATTGCACAGACAAATCCTTCAGTTTCTCCAAAGAGATTACTGAATCGTAGCCAAGACACGGACGCTAGAAAATCTACACTGGGCCCATGAAGGGCCCGGAAGAAGCGTCCGTGGAGCTCCTTGCTATGCCATACCTCCTTGCGATCATTGACGCTCAGTACCACAGGTTTGCGCCAGTTCTCTTTTGCCAAGGATAGCGGAGTGAATCCATTGTCCACCGCTGCTACTTCTCGATGCATACCCTCGTTGACTTTCAGGAAATATTCCCTGAGGCTGCACACCTCACGGTTGTGAAGGGTCTTAGCATTTAATAAGCCTCGACCACCACACTTCCGTAGGATGTACAACCTCATGACCGACGAACGAGGGTGATGCATGCGATTTGCAGTCAGCAGGGTCCGAACTCGTCTATCCAGGGTGTCAAGTTCAGTCTGTGTCCACTTGAGTATACCAAAAGAATACATTAGGACTGGCATGACCCAACCGTTAAAGGCTCGCACCTTGTTTCCGCCTGATAAGGAACTTTTCAGTACCTTATTCAGGCGGCCAAAGAAGCGCTCCTGTAACGATTGCTTCATGTCCGGTCCATTAATGCCTAATCCTTCTGACATACCCAGGTACTTGTATGTATCGTTTGCGGAGAGTGATCTCAGTTTTGTGAAATCTGAGAGTTCTAGTCCCTCAGATTCCACAATCCCTCCTCGCTTTACATGCATGACCGCACACTTGTCTACTCCAAACTCCATTCTGATGGAACTACTAAATTTTTCAGTTATATTCAGTAGTTCCATCAGTTGTTTCTTGTTTGGAGCAAACAACTTGAGGTCATCCATGTAAAGTAAGTGGGATATAACTAGACCCCTTCTCCGCAAAGGATAGCCTAGCCCTGAATCCTCCAGTAGAGTACTTAGAGGATTCAAGGCCAAGCAGAACCATAGTGGGCTCAGGCTGTCACCCTGGAATATTCCTCGTACTATCCTTACAGGTTCTTCATTCCCTTGGATTTGTCTACATCCCGGATAGCAAAGCACGGTGCTCCACTGCCTCATACATGACTCCAAGAAGGCGCGTAAACTTGCATGTATTTTATACAACTCCAGCACCTTCAGGAGCCATGTATGTGGCACAGAATCATAGCTTTTTTATAGTCTATCCAGCATGTGGACAAATCTTTTCGGGACCGACGAACCTGTTGGCTAACAACCATATCAATGAGGAGTAGCTCCTTAGTTCCACGAGACCCCTCCCTACATCCATTTTGAGATACAGACATGATGGAATTTTGTTCAATATGTTTTGTTATTTTTGACCTCAAAATGGATGTAAGAAGTTTATAGACCGTTGGTAAACATGTGATTGGTCTATAATTTTTGGGCTCAGTGGAACTACCTGATTTATGGAGCAGGTGGGTAACTCCTGTTGTTAGAAATTGTGGTAACGACCCAGTTTCCAAAGCTGCCTGGAAGTGTAATGCTAAGCGAACGTGTGAACTCTTGAACCATTTAATCCAGAAATTGTGCAGTCCGTCCGGCCCCGGTGACTTCCAATTCGGAACCGAACAGGCTGCACTGGCTACATCAGAGGAGGTGATTTCTACCTCCTCCATCTCTGGTATAGTCTCACACCTTCGCTTAACATCAAACATCCAGTCACCTTCTGTGTGGCTAACAGGTACCGACCAGATGTTGCGCCAAAATGTGCTAGTGGCATCATCATCCGGTCGCCGCCCGTCAACCACATCTTGGTTGGATCGTTCCCAATCTCTGTATACCCACCTCTGATCTCTTTGGAACATGCGATTCTGAGTATAGCGCTCCACTCTTTTTTTGTAACGTCTAATACGGTTTGCCCATGCATAAACTTTCTGCTTCAGGAAGTCGATGCGCTCTGTAACACGTGACAGGTATTCATGAGGACTGGTTTCAGTCCCCACAAATGCACGTCTTACAAAGCGCATCACTCTAGGGCGAGTATTGCCCTCCCTGAAGCAGGATAGTTTGCCAATGAGTACCCTGGCCTCACTGATACGACGCTCTATCCTGTACTGCCAGGCAGGTACTGCTGGTTTTGGTCGGACTGCTGCGTCAAGATTTGGGAATCTGACGTTAGCTACTCGACAAGCAGCTACCGCCCCACAGTACAAGATTGAGTGTGTATCATAGAGGTTTTCGCTACTCTCAAAATATTTTTTAAGTAGCGAATCCAAGGCGCTCACCAGCGCCCTATTTTTTTTACACATGGGCAAACGTGGTAATTTAGGTCTTAAATTACTAGGAGCAAGTCTATACTCACGAACCGCATCCTCCAAAGCACTCCTCAGTCGTTCATTGCACTGAGTACTCACTTGTTCAACCCTGTCATCCTCCACACCAACGATAGGGGTGGTTGGCGTCACACACTGTGAGACTACAGGTGTTTGTGCCACCGATTGTGGTGGTACGGGGACGACACGATTGCGCAGTGCTTCTAGGCGTAGCCGATCAAGCGCAGCCTCATCCAACCTGCGATTGCGTTGGATGACCCGCACCTGATCCGACAGTCGTTGGGCCGAGACGTTGATAGATGGCTCAAGAACCTGAAATATAGAAAGCATCCTTTCACGGTACGCAGTGAGGTTAGTCCCTCCCTCTGTAGCACCGTAGTACGAGCGCATGACGTTCTCATTTATGGTTTGAGACCATTTCATGCGCCGCACACAACCACCGGTAGCGGGGACCCGTCCCGGGGCCTGTTGGCCCCTGGCTCCCAAGCCCGTCGGTGGCCGGCCTCTCCCCGGTCGACGTACAGGTGTCGGCGACGTCGGCGGGGAGAAATAGTCGTCGCTCGAGCTCGACGCAACTGCTGTCACCGGTGATCCTGCGGGGCTGGGGTCCGGCGACGGCGAGGCGGAGCTGAGCGACGAGTCCGGAGGTGGTGGGGGTGCGTCACGTGCTTTTCTGGCTCTCGTCAACATCATAACATTTTAATTTTCTGTTTCATATCTTCCTTTTGTAGTCTGTCACTGTCAAATTTCATTTTTCTTCATTTATTGTTTGTTTATTGTTATTGTCGGTGTTGATTTTGCAGTAAGTATATATTATTATAAAAAGGTTTTGTTATTGTTATCTTGGATATAAGGATACGTGTGAATTATTTATAAAAATAAACCGAAATAAAACAGAGTAAAATTTTGCACGTTGACATCTCGTGGTGTTGCCAGTTATTGTTATAAGTGCTAACACTGTGCTTGAAAGTTGTTCCTTGAAGTCTCATAAGATACACAGAGGTGACAGCAGTGGTAATTTATTTATTTACTTACTATGTTAACATGGTGTTAAACCAATTCCACACACCAAAGATATGAAATAGTTACAATACTAGAAAAAAATAAAAATCAAAATAAAATATAGGTAACCTAAAACTTAACTAAACAATTATCTATACAACTATTTATACAGTCAGACTTTTTAATAGCCTTGAGATTGTCCATGAATGAATAAAACAAATTTGACAGTATAAATACTTAAAACATAGTCATAAAGCAGTTACTTTGTGTTCTAGAAAACCCCATCACCAGAAATGCGAATGGCTTTAGAAGAGTCTAATTTCCTCATGTAAATTTTACAATTGCGAACCCATAGATGTGCTTAACCACATTGTTGTTTCAACACTCAAATGTGCATTTCAGAAGTAACTTATTTGCCGCTATCAGATAGTCCCTGAAGTAGACATTTGTAGCAGGACCAGTCAAACTTATATCAGCTTGGTTTGCTAATACCTCGTCAAGGCTGTATAGCTACCAACAGTTGATCCTTAAAGCATTCCCTTGCAAACTGAACAATTATAGCAGGTGGGCGAAGCAAACACAGTTAATGTCATCTAGGTCCATGACAAGCCAATCGTAGTGTAAATATTGCCCAAAATGGGCAAATGGGTCAAATCATCTTTCCAACCTTATTTTTAGGAACAGAACTGAAGCCAAGAATGGAATACACAAGTTTACTAAAAGCTATATTACTTGAACTAAGCTAGAGTTCTACTTAAGTAAGATAATTTGATTTAGTTGTGTCTAAATTAATTAGCAACAATATTTTGATTTTTGCAGGCCGTCTTAAGCCCAACCCTCGGTTCGGGCCGTTCCCGAAAGTGACGCTGGCAGTAATGGTCGGCTACTTCATCGGCAAGCTGTCGTACCAGCAGGCTTGCGCCGAGAAGCTAATGGCACTCCCCGGCAGCTACATCGGTCAGCTGCTACGAGAACGAAAAGATGGAAAGGTTTCAGGAGGAGCTAGGCAAGTACCACCAACAGCTTCAGTGCCATGTTTTATACAAGGGTAGTTAGTGTTGTAAGTGATCATGTGGTATGTTGTTATCAGTCGGAGTCCAATGGGGAGTAAGCCGGGGACGACGATGTTCGGCGCCAACCCGAGCGACATATACTCGGATGCGGGCCCCGGCAGCTCGCTCGACCTGGACACCGACCGGCCGCTGTTCAACGACGACTCCTACCGTCCGGGCTCCACGGGTATTCATGTATTTTGTATATCTAACACAAAACGTTAATTTTAATACGCTCGCCATTTAGACTACAAATCTGCTATAGTATTCTGCTATAAATTAATTCTGTTGGTTACTGCTATACAGGCAATTTCATACCAAACTGACGGAAACAGATGCTACAATGATTGTCCTCAGCTTAGCAAATAAAGATAATATAAACTCTGAAATATTCATCATCATGTAGTACTAACATTTGGTTCTGTCGCCCGCAGCACCCGTCCCGGCACCAGAGGTCGCCCCGAGGAATCCAAGTCTTTCCTACGACGACTTACGTCGTAAAAATAGAGATGACTACAAAGGTTCCAAACAGGACCCATACAGGTAAATATTGTAATAGTTCATTTGTGCACTGGTTGTAGTAAATAGTTAGGAGTACACTAACTATTTACTACATAACTATATACTAGTAAATAGTTAGTGTACTCTACTTGCGTTAATATTATTTAGACATTTAAAGAAACTTTTTTATTGTCTCTTCAACTTATTTTAACTCCTATTCCAAATGCATAAAGATGGCATTAAACGAAAACAACTATTAACTACAGATGCCAAGTTCTTAAATGTCTAATGTTATTTTGAACAGAGTATAGAAACTTGTGTCCCGCTCCTTGCTCACTGTTGTTGTACATAATTCTGCATGCAGGTAAAGGTTTCCGGGCTAACTACTTGCTTGCGTCGGATCACGAAGCAATTTGTAGTGACACTGAGAGAAAATATGGCATGCGCTACGCTAATACAATGTAACATACATACATCTATTTTATGCTTAGTTACACTCGATAGTATTAACGACAAATTGTTCACCAGATTTAGTTAGCACTGAATCCTATCATTATTATTTATATATTGTAAGCATATTATGTACCTAAACATACATTTTCTCCATCTTTTTCCAAAACTACTTTCGCTCAGTTTCACCCGCTGTTCGGATCCTATTGATTGTAGCGTGATGTTTGATGCTGCCTATATAGCCTTTCTCAGTAAGCGGACTATCCAGCAAAAAACTAATTTTCAAATTCAAACAAGTAATTTCAGATATTAGCGCGTTCAAAGAACACTGTTATATATTATGCTAACCTGTCAACCTCCTCACCGGTTGTAAAGGCTGTTTTTGTTTTATTAAAAATCTCTTTGGAAAAAGACGGCTGCGCAGTATAAGTTATGTATATGTAACTATGTATGCACATTATTTGTTTGATTTTATTTTGTCCTAATTGGTAACGAAGTATCGTTTGTTATTTTATTTGAATCAGTAGTATTTGACGAGTTGTAGTGAGGGCATTAGGGCGCGAAGCGAGGAGTAGTGACGGCGACTGTCGCTTGTTGCAGGACGGAGCTGGGTGCGCCGCCGCCTGTGCAGCGCATGCGCACCGAACCCCCGGCGCCTTCGCCGCCCGCGCCGACCAACAAGTACGGTGACGTCATGGAGTAAAGTCGCGTCGCTCGTCCACGTCTTGTCATTGCGTAGTTACGAGTCCACAACGCGTCTTACGTTCGTACGCCGTGATATTATTGTGCGCTTACAAAGCCTCTGAGACGGTACCCCGGTACCCTCGTGCTCTTCAAGGCTTGGCCCCTAGTATGCATATGTCAGTTAAACAAGCTTACCTTTTACACAATGTACAAAACTGTTTTAATTGACAATGAAAAATAATAGTTGAGTTTTATGTGTACCTTGTTTTATTTCATCTGCTTATAGGGTACTAGCCCCAGTAGTCAGCCTTTTAGTGGTAAGTCTGAGTTCAAACTTATATAAAAAAAAAATAGACAAAATATATTGAAAGTCTTTTGGATAAATTGACTTACTCATTTATTAAACTTTGTTATAAAATTAACAAAAAATACAAACTTATCCTTTAATTTAGTGAAAAATACGTTTTAACAAAATAAGGCACTTTTTACCAGTGCTCAGCCGCCAAAACCTAGTACTAGACCATATTAGCACCAGTGGTCAGCCTGTCTTGAAATATATAGTTTCAAGCTTAATGATTAATTTAAAAAAATAATAAGCAATTACTCCGGTTACAGAACCTAATAGGACTTAACTATGCCCTAGCAATTCCAACAATCAAATACCTATCCAACTTATATTTAAATCAGTTGGAAAATTCTGCAGTAACATTGGTACCTATGTATTTAAAAACTTTTCAAATTCTTTTTCAATTTAAAGCTTTGTCGCCGATTGTAATTTTTTTGAGGAGCTTATCTTCCATATAGGTTTCTGTGTCAGGAAATTCTGGAGACAGAAGTATATCACTGAGAATTTTAATTTTATTTATTTAATTTCTACTAAATTACAACCTGGCTTCTCTGTTTCTTCAACTATGTCATTTAAATCTTCCAATTTCCTTTTCTTTGTGCATTTTACACTCAATTCATAATTAGAATCATCATTTTTCTTCTTTGTAAACTGCTTCACTTTACGAAGAATATAGACCTGTTTTTTTTTCTTTTTTCATTTCTTTGTTTTTCTTTTTCTTCTTTGATCCTTCGTCTCTGTAACTTTCTTTCCAGAATAGCATATTTTTTGTAACAAACTACAACTATTTAAGCGGCCGACCAATGGATTTTTGACAAACAGCGTTAAAACCAGTAGTCAGCCAGGTGTGCCTGGGCACTAGATACATAAAAATAGGACCCAGTAGTCGGCCACCTAATTATTTAATAATTCTTAACAAAAACATGATATTTTTTATTGATTACAATGCCAAAACTCGTAATTAATGTAAATTTTAATACAACGTGCCCTTAAACTGTGAAAAAGTTTAAATAAATTACCGTTTCTGCGACCGCTTCCCACGAACAAAAAAATGACGCACGCGCCGCGTGTCGTGTCGTCAGCTGACGACGTCGAAATGGATCCATTTTTTGATGTCTTCGGAACTACTTTTCTAAAATGTTTCGAATTGATTCTACCAATGAAAAGTCACAGAACCAATTTAAACTAATTTGATTGGTTAGTTTCTGCTATTGCGCTATTTCTATTAGTTTAAAACTGAAAAAGGCTGAGTACTGGTGCGGGCTGACTACTATACTACTCAACATACATCTTGTCCATGGCGTTATAACGTAAACATATTTCTATGTAACGTGACCAAAGACAAAAACTTAAATCTGTGGCTCAACCATAGCAAGCAGTAGTCACAGATAGACAAACAAAGGTAAATAAAACACAGCGTATGAATGAAACAATATATCCAAATACTTTATAATAAAATTAACATAATAACAATAAACTCAATATCGCAACTAACAGAGAACTAATTCTTAATTGCATTTATGTTGAGCTGAAAACAAATGCCGAGTCAGACATAAATATTGTACTTCCAACGAATTCATTACATCTAGTGTCTCGAGGGGTATATGACGGGGATGTCACATCTGAGATAAGAACCCCTAAATAAAAAATACTTTTAAAAAGCTTATCAATTTATAACATAACAGATTTTGATACTAACACAGGTATATATTACAGAAATAGAAGCAAAAACGACATAATATATTATTTTAATTTTTGTACATACAATATTTATATATGCAACACTTACAATCATCATCGAATGCAGTCATCATCGATATATTCCAGGAGATGTAACTTGTTATAATATTTATATCCAAGTTGTACGCGTTCAAACAAGCTTTATTTAAATCTTGAACCGCTAAGACGCTGCGCAAACGTGAACACTAGGTTCCAGTTATCGAAACCAAACTTTTTTTGATTAATATTGAGTATGCTTTAAGTGGAACAAATATCATACTGGTTTTTTAGAAATCAAATATTCATAGATAGCTTGTGTCTGACACAAAACTCAAACGTGTCTAAGTTTGCGCCCTGCCTTAAATAGAACTATAGCTACTTATGTCAAAATATTATTATTATTCAAGGCCCCCCACAAGAGTGGAGCGAATTCTGGAATTCTAACATTTATTGAAAATTGTTTTTAAGCTGAATGACAACTGCAACATAAGTATGAAGTTATATAGTTCCTCTTATTGCCGACACCCGATATCCGTAGAGGGCAGCACTGCACGCCACCTCCGGACCGGTGCGGCGTCACGACTACAGGTCTAATAACCTAACTATGTACTAACCTTTTTGCATTAGCCTAGAAATATACTACAAATGAAAAATATTACACACAAATCTTTTTGCAAATACGTACATTACATCGCTACGCTATCGTATTTAATGTTATTGGTATAATGTTTCTAAATAAATATTTCCCCGTAATTTTATAAGATTGCGTACTACGTATCGTAGCCGCAACGCTTCGACATGTTACTCCTACAAAATGCATTACTAGATAATGACTCAGAAAAACAAAGTGTTAGTATTATGTGGCTAAAAGTATAACTTAATGAATAACTATTCATATACACCCATTATTAATAGTAATTCATAATATTAAGTAAATTCTTTTTGTCATTAAACATAAACGTGGCGTATCGAGCCTGACGCTCGCTGTCTCGGTATACTGTGTACAAGCACTAACACATCGGCTAAGGGTAACATTTCATAAGGCTTGTAAAATATTTACCTATAAATGTAGTAAATAGTAAAACTAATTTTGTCGATGTTATCCCAGCCGACTGATTTGTACAATAAGGTCACTTGCTGGAAGTATAGCTTTAGTAGATGTCGTCTGGGCCGCCCGCGATGCGCAGTGTCCCGCTGCGATGCCAACCATTGCCAAAGTCCGTATCGTTACAACGCGATATTACATTTTACGAACAGTATTAAAACTTGGATCAGTTTATTATAAAGGCAGTTGTACATTGTAAACGATGACGTCGGTTCTGCGGAGTACACTCGGCACATTGACTGCATCAACACAGTCAGTTATTGTCATCACAAGTGTCAGTACGCAACAGATGCTGTTGTCACCCAAATTCTAAGACTTTTCATTGCAGACCACTAAATTATCGTGGTGTATCATAGTCCTAGTTCAACTGACACCACTAATCAAGAAATTACCTTTAATTAGCTATTTGTTCTTGTAGTCAGTTTTACTCAGTCTGTAGTATTGTTGCTGACGCTATTCATGTCAGTAGTTGAAACTGTGGCTTTCATCAAGTTGCGTTTCTGTAGTGTAGCTGTATAGTCAAGTTATTAATTTTAAGAATGCTAGAGCCTATAACTAGCCGTGTACATTTTGTTGTCTCACTCTATTGAATGGGTAGAAAACAATTGCAAACATATACATTTCCTAAATGTATTCACAATATCGTGGAATAATTTAAATACTTTCTATACTATTAAATAGGACCACCAGGACACGTTGATACGTTTCATTGGTTCCATTATACTTAGTTGTACTTCAATAAAAGTCAAAACGCATCAATTTACTTATTTTGATGGCTTCGAGGATGAGCAACAATCAGCATACTGACCTAAATACGTTTCAATGTTAACGATCAGCTCACAGGCATGGCAACAATGTGCTACCAATGAGAGCTCTAGGGCAGAGGCCACGGCAGACCGGAGAAGTTGACGGGCCCACCGAGGCCGGCGTCGGCTTCGAGCAGGCTCATGATGACAGCCATGGCGGCCTCCCCGTTGCCGTCCAGGCCGAGCGGCGGCAGCGGCGGCGAGGCGGGCGGCGGCGAGGAGGCGGGCGGCGCGGCGCCGGCCGGCGGCGGCGAGCCCTCGGCCGCGGCGCTCAGCGGCACGTTGTTGCGCACCTGGCTGTAGCCCGACATGTCCACGCCCAGGATGTTGTCCACTAGCGACGCCTGCTCGTACAGGATGTTGGCTTTTAGTGGCCACTGTTTCAAGGGGCTCACATCAACATACATTTGTGTTTTACACATTATAACACATTTTATTTCACAATAATCTCTTGTAACAACATTTGACGCATGGACTTGATGCAAGGGGTGAAAGTAGAAACAGTAAATTTCACTGTTACAGTAGAGATAAAATCACATTAAATAACACTCTGTTCTAAGGGTGGACAGTGCCAATACCTTGGATCTGCATGTCTTGCAATATTATAGTAAGAGAGCCCCAATGCCAGGTTAGGAATGATCTACTACCTAAAGTACCAGAGTATTACCATGGTAGAAACGGTATTTTGTATTTTATAGGTTTAATAGCAGAGGTCTATGTATAGTGGAAACAATAAAACAAGCTACATTATATCACGCTAAGAACAATGAAAGTAAAGTGAAAAGTATTGCTAAATTCGGAAAGCAAAAATCGTGTATAACGCAATTTTCAAAGTACCAAGATATGAGATATTGATCCCGATTTTTATTTAAACAGGACAGAAATCGGAAAGCTATTATAGTATAAGACATTATGACCAGTCATTATGTGTGTATCCCTGCTCTATTATCACTATGACTATTACACACGATAAAATGAGTACCTCTGGGGCATGCATCAAAGGTACTCAACAAAAAAGGTACAATTTTGTGGTGTGTGTGCGGCGGAGTGTGTGTCATGTAGAATCAATTCCGAAATCTTGTAGCAGTGTGGGCTCCCTTACTGTTCGGTAAGCACACGAGCGAGTACAAATAGAAGGCATGACATACGTTCTGGTTGAAGACGGCGTCCTGCAGTAGGTCGGCCGGCAGGTCGGGCGAGAACTCGGAGGAGGACCGGCGCAGCGCCTCCTCGGCGATGGCGCTGCCGATCTTGTGGGACTCGACCTGCGACTCGATGAGCCGCTGCATCTCCACGTCGGCCTCTGAAACCGCACTAGCTACAAGTGGCGCCCCGGCCGACTGCGCCACCTCCCCTGCACACACGTACACACACGTGTTACACGCGTGCACGCCCACATTCATTCACTCATCAATCAATATGCGTATCCTTTTTACACGAATTATACAACTATCAATTATAGAACCACATACATAAGGACCGCTCAACACAGGAAGTATCACAATAATTGTCAGGGAATCAAATCTGAGATGCCACGTTCGACGCGACTGTACGTGATGAATGGATCGTTTAATTATATCATTTAAATGCTTTTAAAAGAAATCATTTCCTTCGAATTCTTGTCATAATCTGTATTAGATTGAATAACATTGTTGACAAGTTTATAATCTTATTCCCGTGCATAACTCATCTAATTAAGGTACATAACAAAACAGTAAGACACAGTAGTGGCTAGACCTGGAGTTGTGATGATGATAATATATCCAACGTGAGGTGCGGACTCTTCTAGCGCGTGGCAGTCGGTGGGCGGGTTACTGTACTGTACTGTATACATACTATACAGTGCAGTATAATATTTGTCACGTAGTGGAGTACTCACTCTGCTTGTACATGTCGTAGGAGGAGTGCGCGGCGTCCGCGTGCGCGCCGGCGTGCGCCTCCGACACGATCGTGTTGTTGGCCACCAGGCACTCCACGTCCTTCGTCCACGGATTCCTGCAAGTACCACGCGTTATGACAACATTTACATTGTATACATTATATATTGGCTTAATCTTTTATTTCATGTTTGTTACACATTCAATGATTTTATTATTGTACATTTAAGTGAATGAGGCTTATATAGAAGCGAGCAGCACTGACTTGAAGGGTTTAAAGTGTGTCTGCAGGCGCGCGAAGGTGCCGTCCTTCTTGCGGAAGGAGTATGGCGGCGTCTGCAGCGGGTCGCGGCGCAGCAGCGACGTCTTGTGCGTGCGTGCCACCGCGCTCAGCTCCGGCCCACTCACGTACTCGTACAGACTCGTGCCCAGCAGCTCCTGAGGCAGGAAGCCCAGCGCCAGCGTCACCCTGCAACCACCACGCGACAGTTGATGACATCGTGGTGACACCATGCATGACTGTAGTTGTGACGTCTATGTTATGATGGAGCTCCTACCTCTGGTCGACGAAGAGGAACTTGCCGTCAGGCGCATGCCGCGAGACGTACTGTAGCTGGCGCGTGGGCGGCGGCGGGCAGACGAAGGCGGCGGCGGCGGGCGCCAGGTCGGGCAGCGCCCGGCCCACTGCCACCAGGCACGACATGTTGCACTGCTCGCCGTCGTCCGACACCTCGGCCGAGCTGGCGCCCCCGCCCCCGCCGCCACCCTCCGACATCTCTGCCGGGGCCCACGACTTCAGGTACCCTGCGGAGTTCAGAGCTCAAGCCATAGTCGACATAATGTGCCACCACTGGTGTTTATATCCTCAATGAACGTTTTGGTAAAGGTATAGCTCATGAGCACAAAACTTAGCGAGAAATTGCCATTTAAAATCTCCTCCTCCGCCTTGAGTAAGCCGTGAGGGGGAGTGTCAGACTCATACTTTAAACCATCCCTTTCCAACTCCCGGTCCGACCCGAGACTGCAGCAACATATGGCGAGCGAGAAAGCACCTGTGGCCTGACCTGGATATCAAACCCGAGACTGGTCGCTCGGCTGGAGAAGTTGCTCGATTGAGCAGAGTGTTTGAGTGACCGAGTGAGTGGTGTGACTTAGGAATGTGTTTTTTTAAACTTGATAAATCGGTGTTTGATCTCTACTGTCTCTACTATCCCCTGGTGGTAAGCAAAGATATGGTCAGTCAGTAGTGTATGTATTACCGGTGCACTGGACGACGCAGTACTTCTTCTCGTTGGACTTCTTGCGCAGCTTGGCGGTGGGCTCGGCCTCCTCCTTGATGGGCACGGGCTCGGGCGCCGGCGCCTCGGCCGTCGCCTTGCACTTGATGCGGCAGAAGAAGGAGCGCCGCGCGCCCGGACACAGCCGCGACGCGCCCGCCTGCACGTCCGCCTTCACCGGCAACATGGCTACACAACCAACGCTGGTTACTCTCATTACTCACTTCCTCACACCTTTACTACATAACGGGTAACAGTTAATGCAACTGCTTCGCCAGTGTGGGCAAAACCATAATGAATAAAATATACATTTCATCATTATCATTACCATATCAGCCATTCATACAGACTGACATAATCGCAAGGGGATTCTATCTAACTAGACAGATAGAGTTGCGTGGGCAGGGTCGCGCAGCAGTGTGTGAGCGAGTGACTCGCTGAACCTACATCACAATAAATGTTGGTTGTAGCAATACGTCATACAATATATTTCATGTTATCAGCTGTTAGTTTCCCTTCGATTTAGACTCGGTTATTTACCGAAAGAAGATATTCCGATTCAGTAAATCTTCATCACAAGTAAGGTTTAGTAGACAGTTTGACTGAAAGTAACGCTGTACTCACTTGTACTCACTTGTACTCGCGTGAGCTTTTACTGAGCAAGTCCCAGCGAGGTTCTTACTTTAAACTAATCTTTAATTAATTTAGCAAGTTTCAGAATAGTTATTATACAGAGAATAGGTGTTGGGCGTGGGGACTGAAGTCACTCACTTTTGGCATCGATGAGTCGCTCGCGAGGGCTGAGGTCGGAGGAGGACAGCTGCTCCTTCACCTTGGCCACGTCTTTGGGATGCAGGATGTCGAACAGGCTCTGGCCGAGCAACTCTGTCTGTGGACAACATCACCGCACGTTACACGCACTGTGTCTGGGGACGACCACTACTCGGTACCGGCTGCTTGTAATGTTCAGTATTCGTTCATAATTATTATTTTTAATTAATAATTTTGTCATAGGACATGTTTAGAATTACATTCGTAAAAGAAATATAATTGCTATTATGTTAGATACAATTTTTAAAACGAGTTTGTAATGAGCTGCGGTTTACCACAACGCCAAGGACAGCGAGCAAGCAACAACAGAATTGCAGTCGTCCGACAATAATGCAAAGTGATCGCTTGACGTCAGCGCAGATAATAATTAATGGAGGAAGCGCAGCAGATGAGTGATAGTTAGTGACGTACGAGGAAACATCGTATACACTGCAGTGTGCTTGCATTATTATGTAAATACACGCGTCAATAATTATGCATAAATCTCGGTCGAATTTTAGAGAATATCGAGAGCCAGCAATAGATTCTCCACAAAGTGAAATAGGTATCCATATAATAAATATGTCGAATGCATGTAGTACACATGAACAGTTGCCAGCGCATTATAAAGTATCGCACATTGAAAGCATGCAGTCGCTGAGCAGACGCGCAGCGCCAGCGAGGGGGCGTGTGGGCGTGTGGGCGTGGGACCGACCTGGTCGTAGTGCAGCATCTGCTTGACGGAGGCGGACACGTAGAGCAGGCGGCCGCGGTCGCAGCCCACCACCAGCAGGAAGGAGTCGTGTGCGGCGTGCAGGATGAGCTGGTTGAGCTCGCGCTCCGACACGAAGGCGGGCCGCGGCCGCGCCGTGAGCGGGCAGGCGGAGAGCGCGCCGCGCACCGACCGCAGGTGCTGCACCGCCATGCGCAGCACCGTCAGCTTGTCCAGCTTGCGCGCCATGGCGCCGCACATGGGAATCATGGCGCTCAGCTCTGAGATGTACGTGTTCATTTTGTCGCGCCGCCGCTTCTCGATCTCGCTGTGGTTCTGTCTGCAACGCGTCAGGACCAATAATGTAGTATACTTACTAATAATACTGCAACTTGTACTACTTGTGTATTGGAGAGGAGTAATACTGCTGACTTACTTTTTGTCAGGAAGGGTGCGAGTGGAGCGCGAATCGTCGCCGCCATCATCGTCATACGCGCTGCCCGTACCGCTGTAACACATTACACAGCACTAGTATCAGTGGTGCATCGCCTGGACACTCTTTGCCAATTTTACTAATATTATAAATACGAAAGGTTGTGGTATTTTTGTTACTCAGTCACGTAAAAACGGCTGCAGAGGGGTATATTGTGGTCTGGAATAACACTTAGGCTACTTTCTCTCCCACGGGACGCGGGCCGCTTACGTACAATAATAATAAACAATTTCAACTCTCGTAGCCGTCCCGGTGTTCGAACCCGAGACCCTTGCCCGAATGTTTCCGCGATCGTAATCTGCTACACAGAGACAACTCTTCAATTAACGGCGGGAAGTTTAAATTTAAGAAGAATCAGAGGACCTACATACAAGCTTTATAAATTAGGTACCTATCATGAAAAAGATTTTATTTCCAAGAAAATTACATAATCATAAATACTTATTCATTTTAAAGTCAAAAGCGAATCCCTTAAGGATCGTTTTGTTACCAAGCGAACACCTTTATCTCAACAATGCTCCAAGTTCGAGGGACACAATACCATGAACTTGAGTTTAAAAATTGAGTTTTGTTCAACTTGGTTTTTACATCACCAGCTTACTAAGTCTTTTTATGGCATAAGGCGGTAAACGACGGGTCACCTGATGGTTAACAATTGGCGCCGCCCTCGCCCACCTTTTAGGGATTGGGGATTTGTGAAATGGGGAGAGGGGAAGATTGGGCAACCGGAAACTTCGCTCATACGACTAAACACAAAGTAAGCGGTAATTCACGTTGGTTTTCTATAAGGTCGTGATATCACTCCGGTCGAGACAGACCATTTGTTGTGTTCGCAATGATGGTGATGATGATGGGCAGGTTAGTAAGGAGAATAAAAAAATATGGTCTCTAGTCTCCATGTATCTTCATCATCATTGCATAGCTTCGAATCAATTCTGGATGGTTAGACAACGACAAGCGACTAGGGATAAACACTTTCTGTTCTGTTAATTTGTGCTTTAAATTAATTTATTCTTGATCAGTCTGTTGGCTCATTGGCTAAAAATGTTACGATCGCCTAATCGCCAAGTCGGCTATAATTCATAGTCGGCACTTCTCTAACTTCTACCAAATGACTTAATTTATAATTTACATTAGTATAAAAATGAATCGCCCGATGTGTTGCTAAGCGCAATCTCTAGAGCAGTTGAACCGATTTCTCTAATTCTTTTTTGTATGACTTGTTATTGCTAGGAAAAACATATTAACTTAAGAAAAAAATTCTTCAAGTCTGCGGGGTCCGCTAGTTCATTATAATATTGACGACTGAAGTGCGTATATAGGTACTTTAAATAGTTGTAGAACAAAATACGGTCATGTCACAAGTGACTCTGAGGGGGTAATCTCACCGGTCGAAGTGCGTGGCCGGTAGCCCTGTGGGACCACAACTTTGATTACACACAGCAACTACAAATTTGGCTACTTAAATTGTGATCGTAACTTAAACGATCGCAGGGGGACGATGATGGCCCAACTAATTGTATAAATGCAAGGACTCTGTGCGGATGTATGAATACCAATGTGTGTTACTCTTCCACGCAAAATGAATGATCTGAACGTAATTAGGCCAGAGATGCAAGTGTAGTTAGTTTGTATTCCTTAATCCATGGCACACGTGTATTGGTACCCCCATACAAGAAACGTGATTAAACACCGAAAAACATAATAATTGGTTTAGTATGTCTCACTACAGTTATAAATTTATAATAAAAAATCGTGATTTTTCCCGTTTTTATACATACCGTGATATAATTAATGGAACGGAACCCCTCGTGAACGATGCCGACTTACAATTACACGGTGTTTCACGCAAATAGGTACTACCTATAGAGTAAAAAGTTAGAAACGGTCGCTCGTCGCTCGTCGCTCGATAGGGACACGATCCAAGAAATGTTTCCCGAACACGTTTTCCCGTTTCAATTCCGTGTAAACAATACTTACTACCCTCATTTCCTTACTAATAAAATAAATGCGAAAACGGCGGAGTACAGCGCGAACAAACAAAAAAAAAAAAAAAAAAAAAAAAAACAATCAGCCGAACATAGTACCTCCTCCTTTTTTTGAAGTCGGTAAAAATGTTTGTTTGTCCATTTTAAGTCGCAACGGAGTGAATTTTAGGTATGATTTTAGCGTATAGAGATGGGAACCTTTGACTTCTGGGCGAGTGAATTGAATAGGCGCGATATAGCATAGCACTACTAATTAATGAAGAACAGAGAAAGAACTTAGTAATCCAACCTGACTTAATAACACGTTGCTTCATCGTGAAGTATGGCCTTGTATTGTTTAAGAAATTCCTCATATCAATAAATCCTAAGATTTACAAGCCTAGAATGTGCCACACCATACACAATGCCTTCTCACAATAAACACCTTCATAAACGTTCATTGAACATTTTGGCGCGTACTGTACTCGGTCACGTGGGCAGCGAGCTCTTTCCTAAAGTACGTGAAGCCTTATTACATGTAACGACCGGAGAGGTAAACTCAACTCTTTGGTCACAGGTGATTTTTCCACGAGTCGCCTGTAGCCAAGCAACGTCGCGGCCAGCGTGCCGCGTTCCTGGCCACTGAGGTACCCGCGTCCTCGCGTGCCCGCTTAATTGGCCGTATTGTCACCAACTCAAAGGGTAACTTTCTAATTTGTATGGGTTCGCAGAAAGCCAGAATTTTAGGAGTTATAGGTTATTAGATAATACCGAGTAAACATTTTAAGGGTCATTGCTGTTTACGTTGTTCGTTTTAGAAAAGTTGTACGAGAATTGAATTTAACATAACAACAGTTTGTGGAGAAGGAAACTGTAGGGTTCTTACAGCGGTCCGATACAGTGCATCTATCTGTACCTACGTGCAGCTTAAGACCTACATTTACCTAAATTGTTGACCTATTACATCAGATTTGTATCATAATTCGCTAGGAGCGGCTATCTTCTTGGTTGACTCTCTCTATGAAATAGCTTTCAGGAATATAATATCGTGTTGCTAGAAATTAAATACAGAGATACTGCTAATGATAATACTTAACGAGTATTTTGCAATCATATTTACGACTATTCACATATTTTTAGACATTTACATGCGCAGCGCGAATATAGCGAATATAAACGACTAAAAAATAAATATTTTAAATTACAAAATAGTATAGTAGTAAATTCAATAGAGGAGTAGGTAGTAAAGTGAATAACCAAATACCTAATTACCTTTTCATTACAATACGAAAAACTAAGAAAAATATACAAGTATTAAGATGCCTATTTCAACTAAAAAAAGGATTTTTTTATATTTTTTTTCTTTTTTTTTCGCGTCGCCCCGCAGTAGGATTTTCTCCTGTGTCGTAGGTGCGTTTACAAACATACAAGTTCACATACACAATGACACCCAGACCCGAAACAACAATTTGTGAATCACACAAAGTGTTGTCCCGTGCGGGAATCGAACCCGCGACACGTTGCACGGCAGCCGGTTGCCCAGCCACCGCACCAACCGTGCAGTTCTTTCTTTAGTCTTTACGATTAAACTTAAAATAAAATCATATTTTAAAGTATCAATATAATATTTTACTATGCTCGGAAGTCAGAACATTCAGGCCAAATTAAACCATTGAAATATTTTTGGTAGAGAATCACCAAATTAAAATCACCAAGAGAGATCAGAATCATCAAAAAACTCTAGTCTAATTTTTGTTATTTAACTACTATTTTGATTATAAACTTGCACGTCAAGAAAGCTGTAAAAACAAAGCCATAAACAAATTGATTCAAATTCTTAAAGCAATATTCCCATACGCGAATATCGGCGGCTCGGCTGCATATATTATTTAGCATTCATTCGGTACATTACTAAATTACTGATTGGTATTTATAGTAACTATAGTACTACACGGAACTAACTTGTACTACGTAACCAACTACTAGGAACATTAGTTTCTTGCTGTAAAGCAAACGACACATCCCAATTATTAGATATGCGCGCCACGTTAGACGGATTGAACACACACAATGACACAGTCTAACCTAACCTAACCTCCGTGTGAGAAGAGGCTTTGCTCAGCAGTGGGCATTTAAAGGCTGTTGATGATGAATGACACAGTCCATGAAAAGCTTCACGGGACAATTGTAGGTGGAGTAACATATATGTATGTACTGCTTCATCCTATAAGTTACAGATGATAACCTGACCTCAACCTGTGTCACAATTTATTTGGAAATAATAAATGTTGAGGATGCCGCAGAGTAATCTGGTACACCGCTGGGGTTTTCTTTTAGGTCAACTCATAAATGTTCCTCACTAATGGAGGTTGATAGTGTACGAAAGGGATTCACAAGGATTTTCTTCTGCTGCTAACAATACAGAAATCTAGATACCCCATCTGAATCGTTTATTTTTGACTAACGGCAAGTTGCAGAACTCAATAAAGGTGAGCATTCACGCTTTTGCTTGACAGTTAAAACCTTACAGGTATACCCTAGTGAGTGCGACAAAACTGTATACAAATGCCTGCTGATGCAACTCAGCATTTATACCATTTTTTTTATTTTACGCGTTAGAAACCTGTATCCAAATCTATTGCGTGTGCGTAGTCTTAAAGATCTGAACGAACACATAGAGGTATAGGGAAAGACAACGTTAAGTGTACTTTAGTGTACGCTAAGCGAATGTTTTAATATTAAGTGACACTAATGTGTAGTGTATTAAACTACACATGAAAGTAATATTTGATTGTGTATGTTTGTGGCCTGAAATATATCTTTGGAAACACGTTTTAAAGAATAAACATATAGATGGGTCAGTAAGATGAAGTACTCACAAGGAGGACGGCTTTCTCTTGCGTGTGGCGCTGGCTGGCGCGTGCAACGGCGCGGGCGGCGCCGCCAGCCCCGCCTCGCAGCTAGACATCTCGTAGCTCTCCGAACTACTGCAAAACCAAGAGGAGTCGTTAGCAGGTCGCGAGCAACGTGTGTTGCGTGCTCACTGGGCCTCAGACCTGTACCTGATCGAGCCAGCAGCCGGCGGCATTCTGCGGGCTCTCTTGGGTGTTGATCCAAATCCAATTAGACTTTCCAAGTCATCCAATTCTAATCCTACAGATAAGTCTGGCTCTGTTAACGTTTTCGTTAACAGCATCTGGTTGAGGTCGTTGTAAGAGTCCACCAGCAGGAAAAAGCTTTCATCGTCCCACACGAAGTCATCCATGGCTGAATTCTTATATTTCCTCAAAAATACGACTGTCTCGAGAAGTGACCGCGACCAAACTGTCGCGGTCCCGTCGCTCACTACTCAAAGAGGGGTGACGATTGCGACACAGGAAAAGGTCGTGAAATTCGCGGTATTTAATGTACTTATTAAGGACCGGTGGCATTTGTTTCAAACTTTACATTTATTAACTACCATTTGCCCGCGACTTAGCCCGCTGATTATTGATATTTTAAAAAGTATCAAACTTACTATATAGTTGTCATTATTTTAACTACCAACAAAATGAATAAAACAGTCAGTGATCGATAGATAATGCTTACTAATGTGAAGTCTTTCTTTTGCGGGGATCATGGTGATGTTGATGTGACGACTGCTGCATGGCAGGCTGGTGCGGCGCGTGCGCGAGAGTGCCGGGTGATTCCGCGCACGCGCCCGCGCTTCCGCCGCCCGCGCCCGCCGTCAGCTCATACGCCGGCGCCGCGCTCGCGCCGGCCCTAAACAAACAAACCCTATGGTAAATGCCCACTCCTACTTATCTGTTTCGGCACAGGAAAAGATTTCTTATAAATACTGAAGAGAATAATACGAATTTATGTTTGGTAGATAGTTTTAAACATGACCTGAAAGCACACACCTTTGTGTGTGTCAAACTTTATTCCAAATGGTGAATCCAAAAAACTATTATTTATTATTTCAGTTGTATACTTTAACCGGACTGTTACTTTAAAAATACAAATTAGTTTTATGTTCAAATGCAAAAACAACCAAAGTATCAGAAAACAATATGTTCTAGTAAGTTCTCTTCTGTGGGTTCTATCTTCACTTTTTATATTTTTCTGAGATAAGAAAGTTGTATTGAAACGTTAATTCATTAAACATTACAGCGATATGATTGCAAGACAATGATCAGAAGATAAGGCTTTGTAATTCTATGACATTTATATTCGCAATAATCGCATCAAAAATTGCAAATGCGAATGCACATGCGAATGTCCAAAAACGTGTGAATATTCGTTACATCACTAGGTACTCCACATAACTACATAATTGCGCAACCGGACGTTAGCTCTCATAAGGCTTGCATTACACAAACCTGCAAAGCTGATCACAACCAATATTAGTACAAGTGACGTCATTAACTCATTCCGCATATTATTAGGTATATCGGCTGACAAACAAATATTATAATATATGTATATCTAGAGCAGCTTCAAAATAAAGCTGCATAAGTAAAGTGACACATTACACAAGAAAGTGGTCTGATTCGACGAAATATCATTATATTTTTGTACGGCCATGTTTAATACATCATTAAGGATTCCAATAGTTGCGAAACATGTTTATCATTTATCACAAAGATTTTTATATTTCTGTTTATTTATTTGTAAATCAATAATTAAGTTCGCTGTGTCACTTGACACTTGTCTGACGGGAGGGTGGACATTTCAATTAAGCATTCGAATCGGAGGTACTTGTCCAAGTCAATGAAATTCGCTGTTTTAATTGGAACAAAAGCTCTGCCAGGTTATAGGCGACGTGTCGACTGTCCCTGGATATGGATTACCGACGATATCTAGTCCACTAGTTGCTGGGCTATGGGTGCCGACTGCCGGTGCCGACTGCCGGTGCCGACCACAGCAGCAGACTAGGCATTGCGATCGGTACAACATAAGCTCATAATTCGACTGAAAATGTTAACACAAAACATTTTCGTTCAGAAAATACTTGAGTCCTAGTAACAAGTTATGTGTAAGGCGGAGGGCCCCACTACTCTCTTTGTTATTACATGTTTTCCTTTTTTGTAATTAACGTAACATAAGTCTGTGAATAGCCACTTACGTAACATAGAAACAGTCTTATTCAATGAAGTCCTATTGCTCGGTTGGTGGATTTTGTTTAAATTCTTTATCAAAGGTTACGTGTTTCCCTTGACGGCTAGGATTATGACTAGCCAGGAATGCCAACTTGAATAAATACGTAATACCTACAGCCTAGTGATGAACGAATGTCATTTTTAGACATTTGCGAATGCCAATACGAATGCAAATATCTGCCGAAGGGCGAAGATATTCGCGAACGCGAATGCGAATATTGATTTAAGAATTTCGACCAATCTGAATATGGTTTTATTTTGACAGGTGATTTGATGCGTGAGTTGCGGCACACACATGTGGAATTGTTTGTTTCGTATCAACTTTCAGTCTGGTCAAAGTAAACAGTTATCAAATAAAATAAAAATTAGGGAAGACCCAAATTTTTTTAAAACCTGGATTCTTCATCTATCTTCTATCTATATATATAAAATTCAAAGGTGATTGACTGACTGACTGACTGACATAGTGATCTATCAACGCACAGCCCAAACCGCTGGACAGATTGGGCTAAAATTTGGCATACAGATAGATGTTATGACGTAGGCATCCGCTAAGAAAGGATTTTGATAATTTCCACCCCCAAGGGGGTAAAAAAGGGGATGAAAGTTTGTATGAAACTTTGTCAGTTTTTAACTGATTGGGTTGAAATTTGGCATGCAGATAGATGTTATGACGTAAGCATCCGTTGTGAAAGGATTTTGATAATTTCCACCCCCAAGGGGGTAAAATAGGGGATGAAAGTTTGTATGAGACTTTGTCAGTTTTAAACCGATCGGGTTGAAATTTGGCATGCAGATAGATGTTATGACGTAGGCATCCCCTGTGAAAGGATTATGATAATTTCCACCCCCAAGGGGGTAAAATAGGGGATGAAAGTTTGTATGAGACTTTGTCAGTTTTAAACCGATCGGATTGAAATTTGACATGCAGATAGATGTTATCACATAGGCATCCGCTAAGAAAGGACTTTGATCATTTCCACCCCTAAGGGGGTAAAATAGGAGGAGGCGGGACGCGTGAGGTAGCAAAGCGCTGCCTCCTCGCAACCCAGCCATCGCGAAGGACACACCGGGCGTCGGGGATCGCGAGACGATCTCCGGCCACCGTAAGCGCGGGCCTGCGGACGGCGAGCATGGGTGGCTCCCCGTCCGATCAGAAACAGACCCGAGCGTACGGCGCGTCGCGTTCCGCGCGCGCCTCAAAGAGCCATCAGACCACCACAGATGGGGCCCAATAGGGCCGATGCCGATTCGGAGTCGCGGAGAACCTAACGGGTAACCGGGGCTCCGGCTCGACGTGCAGGAGAAGGAACGGGGTGGTTTTTAGTCAGTAAGAGTCTGACACTCCCTTCCGCCTCACCCAGGCAGGAGCAGTCATTCGATGATTTTCTCCCCTTCAAAAAAAAGGGTATAAAATAGGGAATGAGAGTTTGTATAAATCTTCTTAGCCATTGAATTTAGAATCATCGAATCTTTTTGAATTACATTCGGTAAAACGATGATTTGGGACCTGGGTAACGTATGATAGTTTTTTCATAGATGTCTCACGAGAACGGGAACTATGCGTCAATGCCCCAGGACTCTCTAACTCTTAACCACTGAACTTATTCTAGAGAGATTCGGTACAACAATAGTCGATAGAATAGTTATTATTACTCAAACCTTACGTGATCGGGCACTGTACTGGTAAGATCCCTGCGGGATTATTTATTTATTGAAACTACGATAAATCATTTCAAAATAGGTAAATCTTACTTGGGCACTGAATTGATTCTGGTTAATTCTGTCAGAAGTCATTAATCTACGCGGACGAAGTCGCGGGCAACAGCTAGTTAGGCATAAAGTATCAAAAGTGCCCATAGAGCCCTGGTACGCTTGGAAGTGGATTTGGACTAAAGGTCCAAAATATAAAGTAATTGAGCCTCCGGTAACCTCACTCACACGACGAAACACAACGCGAGCGTTGTTTCGTGTCAGTTTTCTGTGAGGTCGCGGTATCACTCCGGTCGAGCGCACGTTCAGCTGAAGCACAATGTATTCGTGGTGTCCGAACGAACTGTCTCCATTATTCGCGAATGTGTGAAGACGTGAAGAGCGATGTCGTGTCTTTTAAGCTATATTCGAAACATAAAATGATATTGGGACATCTCAGCACAGGCGACATAATTGTTGACTACACGGTTGGCGCGGTGGCTGGGCAACCGGCTGCCGCGCAACGTGCAGCCAACTCTTTGTGTAATCCACAAATGGTCGTTTCGGGTCTGGGTGTCATGTATGTGTGAACTTGTATATTTGTAAACGCACCCGCTAGACATAGGAAAATCCTAGTGTCCCCAACGTATTAAAAAAAGGAAAAGAAATAACCTACCTTTATAAATAAATGTAATAAATAAATGAGTAATATTTTAGGGAAATGCACCATAGTATAGTTGTTATGTTACGGGCAGTAACATAACAACTATACTATGGTGCATTTGTGAAGTACCTATACACGTTACGTCATGTGCTCTGAGAACCTGTGACTCATGGGGTAGGTTACAAGTATGTTATGTTTAGATGTACTTGTATGTTATGAACTTAAACTTAATTTTAGAGACGCAACACTAACTTATGGCATTCACTTTCAATACCTGCCTACTGCCTACTTTAAATTATAAAATCTATCGAGAAATGTGAACGTTACTGAATACATAGCACAAATCGATGTAATCGAACAGCTGGGAGCTTATGAGTATCGTTTATGAATCATGTTTATTTCCAACAAGCTGACTGATTCACCGCGTACATATTTGTACCGATGCTAGTTAGTAAGGACCACTCGTTGCAGTTCAGGTACAATTACATACTGTACGCGAACTCACTTATGTAGGCAGATATAGTGAGGTAGTTACTGGTGACTGGGTGTGGAAGTACTTGTATAACAATACAAGTAGGTGGACCTACTGTGAAGTACAAGTACTGTCGGCGCTCGCGCCCCACATGCATCCGACAAACGATCACACATGAAATTCAGTCCCTGTGCTTACTACCTAACTGTCTAACGAGAGGGACTTAGTCAAACACCGCTCTGACAGTCTTTTACTATGACTGCAAAAGTGCGAAGTGATTTAAGAAATAATACCGACTTTGGAATATTATGCAATACTCTTCCTTGTTGATAAGTTCTCCTAGGTAATTGCTATCTTCCAGAGCTAGTATATTTAGAGGATCCGGTGCCTTGTTATAGGTAATAATAGTGTACCGCATTCTTATTCTTAGTCCCCAAAAAGTTATACGCGGTTTGAAAGTTTCACTCTGACTTTCAGTCCACTATAAAAAGGTATTTGCTCACATAGAACAATTATAAATAGAGTGAATCAGCCGCTAAATGTTAAAAGGTATAGACATAAGTAAGATACATATGACGTAAATATATGTATGTTGCACAGTTCACAGCTCAGTGACCGCTGGGTGCAGTAGGTGGCACCGTCAGCGCTACAGCACGGAGATTATGATTAATTATGAAACGAGGCCTAAAAACGATGCACAAACACTCGGTACAAGTGTGTGTACCGAATGTAAACACAGTCGTTTGTTTGTGCGCACCGGTCCCCTGCTAGTGCTCAGCCAGTAACTTGTGTA